CAACAGTATCAGCAGTATTGAAGACAAGGCACTGGATGGCTGCAGGCATTTCTACCACTATATTGTCTAAAGTTGCAGCAGATATACACAACATGGTGGCTAAAATGCTAATGAATGTCTGCAACACTGTCTGCACTCGCCTTTCATTGCTGCGACTTGTGGAGCTAAACTGGGAATAGACACCCCAGAATATTTTTGGTAAAAAAAGCCTACTTTATAAAACAGTCTACTGAGCAGGTCTGGAATTCAGAAACTTCTAGATTCCAACTTCATAGGAAATCCACTAGATCAATCTTCTTGACTACAAACCACAAAGATCTGCTTGTTATCTATTTAACAGTTCAGAGTGAAAATAGATTGACATAAAGAGTCTTTATCTTCTTTAATGGAGTCTTGTTAAGGGTAGCATCATCATTAACTAGCAAGTGTAATTTAGTGTATATTCTAGTTAAAATAGCGTTAAAAATAATAGCCTACCTATTCAGCTCAGGGTTAAATGACAAATATCTAAAGCACTAAAGATTGGTTGACTATTTTAAGACCTAATTTTAAGAGATTTAGAACTAATGGGCCATGCAATTCTTATGCTGGTGTAGCTCTGTCAGTGCCATGTGGTGTATTAACTCATCTGTCTAAACAGATGGGTCTTGACAAACAAAACTGCAAGGAGGATATGCTCCTGCACTGAAATTGAAAACATTTTCGATGAAATTGTTGAAAATATTGATTGTGTTAGTCTTTTAATAGAAACTAACAACCAGTGGAGCTGTCTCTATCACTTCAGATCACAACAGGCCACTGTTCTAAACTTAATACAAAAGAGCTTTTTTAGTAAAGCAAACTTTTTTATTTACTTCAGTTAGTTAATAGCCAGGTTTTTCTGAAGGAAAAAAAACACTTTAAAAAAATCATATCCTAAAGTTCCCATGTGCCGGACACCTGGAATAGTTAGCAGTGCTAGGTTGTTTACTTATTCAAATATATTAACAGATCAAAGAAATTGTACAAGGAATTTTATACCAAGAAGATTTCTGAATTCTACGTAAGGAAGCTTTGTAGAGCAGGATCCAAAAAGTGACCTTCAAGGAAACAGTCAAAACATTTTTTTAAAAAGGGAAAAAAATTGTTAGTCACCGAGGCCTGGTGTACAGTACACTAGGGGTATGTCTACACTACAACACTAATTCAAACTAACTTAATTCGAATTAGTTAATTCGAATTAAGCTAATTCGAACTAGTGCATCTAGACCTAAAAACCAGTTCGAATTAGCATTTTGCTAATTCGAACTAGCATGTCCACATTGAGTGGACCCTGAACCGAGGTTAAGGATGGCCGGAAGCAGTGCTGGCAGGGCATCAGATTAGGACTTAGAGCGTGGAGCTGCTGTCTCAGGCTAGCCGAGGGCTGTGCTTAAAGGGACTCGACCCTCACCCCAGACAGACAGTTCTCAGGGGTTCCCCGCTCGCTTGTCTAACTCGATGAGGGACAGTCCTGGCTTGGAGTGCCCTGAATGCCCACACTCAGCACATCACAGCACTTGGCCATCAGCCCAGCTGCACTTGCCGCAGGCTGCCATCCGGGGGAGGGGAGGGTCAATCGGGGGGCTGCAGGGCAGCTTCCTCCCCAAGGAGCCCGCAGAGCCACTCCAGTCCTCATCGGGGGCTCATACCCCATTCCTCCCTCACCTCCTTCCACTTACCCCTCCCTAGCCCCCCTTCCTGATGTACAAAATAAAGAACACGTGTGTTCGAAAATAGAAACTCTCTTTATTTAACAAAACTGGGGGGGAGGGAATTAACCTCTGGGGAGACTGGGAAAAGGAGGTGGAAGAAGGGAGGAGGAAACCTGGGAGGAGGGAGCTGGAAGGGGGAAGCCAGGGGAAGAAGGAGGAGGGGAAGTATCAAACTATGGTA